CGTATTATAAATGTACCATACCTAATTCAGGTGGCAATTCTGTGATCTGATTTCCCTCTAGTAATAGTGTTTTCATACTTCTATAATAAAAGAACAACTTATTAATGCAAAACACACACAAGCACAAATTTGAATTCAAGACACGAATAATCTTATACAGTCAATTTGTGTTCCATCAATTGTTAGCTGAATGCTCACCACTATGTGAAGTTAATTATTGTGGCAACTATCTCCATCGTTGGAACATCAATGAAAAAATTGATTTTTTGACGTCATGCTGTGTTGTAGACTTATATCAACAAAATTTGCCATTTTTAGAGAAAATTAATTCCAGCTCAAATAAAATAATTTACAGTATTACTTAAATAATTTATTTTAAATATCACCTTGTCAATCACAATTTATAATGATATACAACCTTTGAACTTTACCTGTTATCTCCAATAGTGGCTGGAAGATTTCTCAGTTGATTATTTCGTACATCTAACCATATTAAGTTTTCTAAAGATTTAAATAAGGTCTGTGGTAACTCTGTCAAATTATTTCCTTCCATATATAAATACTGAAAGTAGGAATAAAGATATGCAATAATTTTTTTTATTTTAATGGCCGCTAGAATTTATGAAATGGTAGCTATAGAGCTACCTCTTCTTTAAGAACTGACCATCAATGTTATTTTGGACTGCAATGACTTGCCTGCTGTGTTAGTACTGCCCACTGGTCATGTAGGAATGTAATGTCTCTTTCTGATACTAACAAATATTCTGGCAAATATGGGATTCAGAAATAAATGTAATAAGTTCAAACAGCATTATGTTAATGAAAAAAAAAACTAATTCTAATTTCTATTCATCTTTGGTGGCTATTAATTTTCAAAACCTATGTAGCAGTGCTGATGTGAACGATGTACACGAACATTTCAGTTTGGGCTAACAGTTTAATAATTTGTACATAAGGAGACATTATATAGCAAGCAAACCGTAAGATACATTTTAAAACATGGAAGTGCTGTCAGGCCCCCTTACATGTGATATCGTCAACAACATTCAAAGCAATATGTTGCCAAGGTTCAAAGGTCATAGAAATATCTTGAAAGTTAAAAATACATGTACAAACGCAAAAAAGTTCACAAAGTTCTACAGAAACTATTGGTATACTACATACATGTAGATACATGTGTATATTACAATAGGTGCACTTAAATGTTTTATTTCTTCAGAAACAGTTTTCTGATGTCTTTGTGTATATGCATGTACTGTATTGTACAACAAAACAATGAACCATTCCAACAAACAATAGTACATAGATGTCATTGTTGCAGTCAGCTGACACATAAAGTTGACATGTCTAATCATGGAGGTTATTACCTACATGGTCTAATATAAGGCTAGTATAATGTCATGTATAAAATAGAAATGCTATAAGCTGATAATCCTGTTTGCTTATCCTATTTAACATGTATATTAATTCTACATGGATACTAGTACATAAGAGCTTTCACAGAGGGTAAAACAGTTTTAGCCATGTCAGCTATACTACATTGTTTAGTTTGTTTCTTTGAAAAATCAAATCAATGCAAATATAAAAGTACATATATATGCACTGCAAGTTAAGGTCAGAGAAAATAGAAATGGTGACACCTGTAAAAGCAAAAAGTCTGGAACTCATAATATCTCAATGGTCATACATCACAAAACAAATAAAGAAAAAAAACAAAAAAAAACAACACTATTAATGCTTCCAACTCATTCAAGACACAGTCACTGTCTGGTATTAAGACTGGTCTTAATGAACTGAGCTATATACATATACTTGTTGCTCATAATGGAAATAAATTTATCACTCTCACTACTGGTTCTAAAATTATTTATATGCATTTCTGCTTTGTAAAATCATGGATGTACTAACAAAGGATGAACCACTGACCAATGACTAACGTCGACCATGGTAAAAAACAGGAATAATAAACATTCTGATCTGATATTAAATTTGTTTGTCGCAAATCAAGGTAAAATTGAAATATCATACAATAAAAAATTAAAGCAAAAATTTCAAAAACCACTAAGAAAGTACTGTAACTTCCCGATCATCAACACACTTCAGTCAATCTGATTTATGACCGGTGTTTGACAGGTCACCTGTCACATGGCGGAAACTTTGCATGCTTGTCGTCGCTGTTTTTGAATGTATGACATACATGTGTAACATTTTCACACGATGTACACACCCCTTTTAATGACAGAAAGACTCATCTAAATACTTTGATCTAGTTTATCATGTTTTATCTGTATGTTTATTGGTAAGACAAAGGTTTGGAGAGAATTTAACACATTATAACACCAAAAGTAAACTTTCTCCAGTGCTTTTTTAATCCTCTTAACTCAGTGGTTCATAGTTTGGTAGATTGTCCATAGTTTAAAGGGGCACCTTCCAGTTAAGCCTAATCTCACAACAAATTTACTTGCTGGATTAAAATAACAAAGATAGATTGACATTGTAAACAACATAAACAATAGTGTCCCATGATTTTTGGTGCAATCCATGGGATTGAGCGATTCCCTGGGTTTGATTTCCGCTGATGTTAAATGCATTAAATTAAAAACTACAGAACTTTCATAGCCTCATACACTGAATATATTGTTTCAAAACTGTAAATTTAAAACCTAATGAGGATTACACATACCAGCATTCAAATAATCAGCTGATTTAAATGCTCCAACCATGGAAGGTATTTATTGCTATTAATAAAGAACACCTTTCATGACTCCAATCACAGAGCTGCAAACCACTCCCATACACAAATGACAGTACATTTAAAAATCACTGGTAATTCATGTTACACCTCAAAAAACCACTGTTAATTATTTCTCACCTCAACATGATTGAGTTCCAGTATTTCTTCAGGAAACTTTGAAATGTTCCTACCACTGATATCTAAAGTAATTGCACCAAGGGCTCGAGCTGTATCGATTAAATCCCTGACAACTTCTTCGTCTGATTTTCGTACTTTCGGATTTTCAGACACAGGCCTTGAATCGTTATATTCATCCTCGTCCGTGCTTGCAATGTCCGCCATTATTCCAAACAGAAACCAGATGTGGACGATTACCGACTGGCACTGACTTACTATGATGAATTACTAGTTTTGACGCGCGTGAGTCTTGACTGTATTTCAATTTATGTGCTGACTGGACCACTACGTTGTATACATTTCGAAAAGCAGCGAAGTATTAAACTTTAGAATGTCGCTGGGGGTCATCCATTTGCTCTAATTACTTGTAACAGCAATGTACTGGTCATGGATCTATGCCAGTGAAAAATAACGACAGACTTCTAGAAAATGGCGGCCCTTGAGTAAACAATTTGTATACAATTTCTATGGATACAATAGTCGCCTCCAGACAGTTGCAACACCCCCGTTAAAAATGTAGTTTTCAATATAGGTTAAAAAAAAACAAATTGAAACAAAAAATGAATACAACAGTAAAACAGAATAAGCTGTATTTGTAATATCCACATTTCAATGTTACAAGAGCCGGAGATTTAAAAAAGGGCATCTTGAAACCTTTGAGGTCAAATAAGCTTGACCCAGAACACTCCAATCATAATTTAGGGGTTCCAGCCAGTAGAATACAAATGGAAACTCTTTTAAGTAAATTAAACTCCTCAGAGTTCATTGTTTGTGTACACGTAATTAGTTATGTATTTATTATTAGATTGTATGTGGTAATACACTTTATAATCAAGGTTATACTGCGGTAAGTATATTGTTGTGTTTGACGTTCCCCCTTCCGATAATATAGCATCCCTTTTTGTTTGAAGGGAATGCAAATACATTTGATGTTGCTCTCTGGTTGTGATGCTAGTATATGATCTAGATGTAGATGCACCCGCCATACTACAGTTACTACACATTAATGACGCCATCGTTTTGAGGATTATATCTGTTTGTATATCATGCCATAATCAAATTGACGACTCAAGCCCGAGAACGTCACAGCAACAGAAAAGTACTTATAGATGAGGCAGATATTATTTTGTTCATGAAGCTCACTTGTGTCAATGAGAACAGTAACTAGCACCTAACTACTGGGACAAGCTAACCGCTCTTCCCGTCGTCGCCTGCCAAGGATTTCTGTCACAATCATACTGGTAATTTATAGTATTGCCTTCGATCTGTCCTTCTCCTGCAGGAAGGACAGAAACATTTGAGACCGTCAAGATAGGTTGCACAATGGGAGGGAACCACTCCGCGCGCAAGCATTCATTTGACGTGAACGGGGAGGGTAAGTGAATTATTATGATATTATTGACAACGCGCCATATTGGGAAGAAACGGGCTTTATTGCTTTATAACCGCCTTCACTCCTTATGAAATTATATGTGTTATTATGTAGTGTTCAAGTTGTTATGTTACTTGGTGATGTCACTTTTATGTATTATTCTATGATTTTGATGTAATACGATGTGTATAAATTTGTTTTTCATATTTAGGGATTTTATTGACAACTTATGTTAAGAATAATAATTCTTAATTTTATTGTCAGTTTTCATGTTTTTATAACTTTATTTGCTTTGATTTTTAATTGCAGTAAATTTTGACCACTTTCAAATTCTTCGAGCTATTGGGAAAGGCAGTTTTGGAAAGGTTAGTACAGTATTATTTTGTACGTAAAGCAATCCTACCATCAGATATGAGAAAACTTAAATTTTACATGTGCTTTCTTTATATAAGTACATGTAATTGGACTGAGCTTATAGCTAGTAATGCCACATCCTTTCATGAAATAACAGTTTTTATGCGGGTAACTAATACGCTCTCACACTCGATGTCTTAAAATACATGCTAGGTAATTGGAAGACAAGATTATTTGTGTTCAAGAGTGTTTGTTGAAGTTAATAATAATGTTAATGCCTAATACACTATGCAGAATGAATGAGATGTGATCAAAGAGTAGGTGTTAATTGCTTGCTCATGTTTTTATCTCTTAGTTGTGACCTTGCATTAACATTGAGATGTCCCCTGATTGCCTTGGCAATAATTCCCATATCAATACTTCTATATTTTGATGCACACATTAATGAAAATTGTTGTATGTATTTTATATTGGTTGTCAGGGTAACAAGATTACTCTTGATACCATGGAAAAGTAATTGAACAAAACTGTTCTACTATTCATTCAATTTAGCTTTCTATTGTTCAGGAATATTATGTAGTGTTTAAAATTTTGTTCATCCATTCTTGCCAAAATAATCTTTTTTTGTTGTTTAATTAATAAACTTCAAGTATCAATGATGACACTGTTCATTAGAGATGATAATTTCAACTCTTCACTGTTGTAACATATTTGCTCTCTTATAGATGCACATATAAACCAAAAATCACATTTGTTGTTAAAGTATCTCTTATTTGACCATTTACCCAATTATATGCACTAATAATAACGCACATACAGTATATTATTGTGTATTACACTTGAGACTGTAAAGTGACATTGAAAGGATTACATAAAAAAATTAGGTTGGAATAGAAAATTAATCCTAATGTTTTTATCTAGCTTCTCCCATGATGCATCACTTCATGTAGAAAAAAAGTTATACTACTATTGTAGTAATCACACCAAGTTGTCTTCATATGTTGTCTGTTGTCTATACACTATACTATGGGTTCCATGCAACATGTACTGTGGGTCTAATGCAACATAAACTATGGGTTCCATGCAGCATATACTGTAAAATGACTAATTTTCACTGGGTTTAAATTTCACTGATTTACCATTTCAGGCATATTCAGTGGGTTTTAAATTCACGGTTTCATCATTTAGATAATGTGTTCTATGCTAAATTTTATATATTCACTGTGTTTTAATTTAGCGCATTTTTCCAGTCAGCGAAATAAGCTAAATTAAAACCCAGTGAATAATTACCCCCTTTACAGTACTATGGGTTCCATGCAACATATACTATGGGTTCCATGCAACATATACTATGGGTTCCATGCAACATATACTATGGGTTCCATGTAACATATACTATGGGTTCCATGCAACATATACTATCGGTTCCATGCAACATAAACTATGGGTTCCATGCAACATATACTATGGGTTCCATGCAACATAAACTATGGGTTCCATGCAACATATACTATGGGTTCCATGCAACATATACTATCGGTTCCATGCAACATAAACTATGGGTTCCAGGCAACATAAACTATGGGTTCCATGTAACATATACTATGGGTTTCATGCAACATATACTATGGGTTCCATGCACATATACTGTGGGTTCCATACACCTATACTATGGGTTCCATG